GCTTAACAACTGAGGCACCCAGGCGCCCCTCAGGGACATTTCTTAATATGATTTTTGTCTCTCAAAAAAATGCAGACTTGGGTAAAGAATTAGTATCCTATATAACATCACGATCAACATTGAATGGTTGAGGTAAGAGCAAATCTTTATTACCTTGTCCAAATCACCCAATAATATGGATAACATTAGACTGAATAGGAATATTGCTATTACAGGGATCGGTAACATTCAAAGATGTGACTATGGCCTTTACCCAGAAGGAATGGGAGCAGCTAGATCCTGCTCAGAGGAACCTGTATAAGGATGTGATGCTGGAGAACTACAGCAACCTTGCCTCAATGGGTAAGGACAATTCTTTCATAATTCAAATGTGTCCACTGTAATACCTTCTCTCTGAAGTTCTTGATAAGTTTGGCCTTGGCTATTATGAATCAAAGAGTTTTAATCCCTTTGGGTATGAGGCAGGATACTTGTGCCCCTGTCTCCAAAATGGAAGGTCTGCTTAGACGGGGTACATGGGCAGCCACATTGTGAAATTTCAGAAGCCATATATTCTTTCTTTCCTTCCTCCCTCCTCCCTCCCTCTCTTCTTGTCTTTTCTTTCTTTCTTTTCTTTCCTTCCTTCCTTCCTTCCTTCCTCTCTCTCTTTCTCTCTTTCTCCTTAGAAGCCATATATTCTTTATCCTCTCAAGGCTCTGAAGTCCAAATATTAGGGCTTGATTTCTGGGATGTTTGTTTTCCTAACACTCAACTTCTGCCATTTCTCATGAGCAGGGTATCAAGCTCCCAAACCAGACATGATCTCCAAGTTGGAAAAAGGAGAAGAGCCATGGTTGGGGAAGGGCAAAAGACCCAGACAAGGTGGTCCCAGTGAAATAGCAAGACCCAAGCAAATAGGAACCAATGGAAGTAAGTTTCTATTTTTTTGGTGGTAACTTGGAATTGTTCAATGAATAATTCATTTTTTAAATCTTCTTCAAGATCCTAGGCCCTTGTTGTAAGCCAGTGTTACTCATGGGAGTTTGCTTACACCACTCGTATCAGTGAGCTTAGGCTAAGTTCTGCTCTATTAAGGAATGACCCCTAAACCTTAGTGGCTTCCAACAAGAAAGATTTGTTTCTTGCTCATGCTATGGCCCTATTCCACGTTATCCTTTGGACCTATGCTGAAAGATCAGTCCCTATTTGGCAAATTCTGGTCTCATGGCAGAAGGAAAGAAGAATGAGTAGAACCACTGATGACTCTTAACATCACTGATGCCTCTTTCTGCTCACATTTCATTGGTTAATTGGTTAGAGCAGATCACCTCGCTACTCCTAAGTTCAATAGGTAGGAATGTATAATCCTTCCACAGGGAGGATTCAAGGGACCATGCAATGGGTCTGGGAGGTACAATCTTTCCACAAGGAACAGTAGTACAGTCCGCCACACCATGAGTATTGTGGTAGGAAAAAAGGTGAAAACCAGAGCTCTGAACCTCTGGTACCAGCCCCTCAAATGCCTAGCTGACCCTTCCTTATTGTCTTTCCTCATCCATGCTCTCCATCGCTCAGCTTCCAGAAGGAGCAGTAACCCCTCTTAGCTGTTTTCAGAATCCCATTACAGCTTACCTTATTTGAAGCAGTGCTGTTTTTTATTATCTTCTTTTTTCCTAATATCCTCAGTTTTTTCCCTTCATCCACTCAAACTCTGGGACTCCGTGGTATAATATTTCTCTCCTTGTATGTTCAAACCTTCTTAGATCCATCCTCTTTCCAGATCTCTTGGCATGATGTTCCCCTGCCTTTAATTATTTTCCATTTCCCTCCTTTTCACTGTGAAATGCTCTAAACTTGTGGTCTATAGTGCATCATTATTTCCATTTACTTGTTAACCTATGCAGTCAGATCCCACAGAATTCATGCCTGTATGTAAATTTCTGGCTTCCCTTCCAGTTCATATTTTAATAGTTTTGGTCAGTGTGAAGTTCTTGCCCCTGGCTTGAATTACACCACTTGAATCTGGTCTTCTCTTCTAAGTGTTTCTTTACATTTATTTCACCAGATTCTCTTCCTTCTCACTTTGCTGAAGTGTCCCTAAGGTTTTGTCTTCTACTATCTGTTCTTTTTTTTTTTTTTTTCCTCTATCGTATTTCCCTCGAAAACTCTTTGGATTTCAATTCTAAACTCCTAGGAGCGAGGATATTATTGGTCTAGGTAGGGTCCTCGAAAGAATCAAGCTATTTATTCTATACTGGTGACTTTTAAGGTAAATTTATCTTGTCCAGATAAATCTCCAGTTTCTTCATGTTGCACTCATATTTTACCTGCATCCAGGAAAGTTCAATCTCACAGTGTCAGAAATGGAAAGCTGTGTCTTTTTGCCTTTCTTTCTAAATTAGAGCTTTCTTTCACCTTCCCTCTTTTTATCAGGGTCTACTTTGATTTTAGGCCTGTGTACCATGGAGTTCCTGTGAATCTCTGCTCTCTGCCTTCTCTTTTACTGTCCTTGCCTCAGTTCCTGGTTGGTTGGTTTGTTTTCTCCAGTTCTCACAGACATCACCCAAATCAGGTGTATATTATCTCCTACCTAAATTGCTCCAATTCTTAGGCTGATTTATTGCCTCCATTTTTTGTTTCTTAGATTCCTCTTATATGTTGCCACCAAACATTAAAATATTCAGTTATTATTTATATCACTATAGTCCCCCAAATAGCAGACTGTTTACAATGCATTTTTAAGTGTCCTCTGAATTTTCCAAGACTCCATGAATTTCCTGAAACCAGAGGGACTAGTCCTTCAAATGACAAATGAAGAGACCTCCTGGAGTTTTGATTCATCCACTAGTGGCTCCAATTTTGGCTATGTTTACTTCTCTCTCTCTGATACTTGGTGTTACAACTAAAAAATAGTCATCTAATACATCTTTGTCATTGCTGCAGTGACTTTCTTCTTGGTTCAGGTTCTTATATAGTACTTGGAGTTTCTTCAAGGAAAGACTATTCTATTCCCTCCAATGATTTGCTGAGTGTAGTGAGCTATATACTTCAGTTCCTGAAGTTACAATCATTTTAGCTTAAAATTCATGTTTTAGTTACTGTCTCAGATTCAGGACAAGCTTACAGCCTTAATCACATGCTCTGTCACACCCAACTCTCTCCTAGTATTACCTTATTATTATACCATTTCACTAGTTCAGGTTCTTTTCTTTCTCCCCCTCATGGTAAATTTCTCTCATAGTGCTTTATATCTTTTCCTGTTGGCCAATTTCCATCATCATAAGGGGTTCCTATAATGTTACACCTCAAGGGGTGTAGTTTTGAGTTTTGATCCCTTTCTTCCCAGAAAGAGATTTGCCTCCATCCTCTCCAGCATCCTTGGGCATTGGGAGATGCTGCCTTTGTCATGCTCTTGTTATATTCTTTCCCCCAAAATGCTTGTATCACTTAAAATTTCCTAAATGAAAAAGCAGCTGGAAACTCTACTTCTCCCTACTATATCTGTACTACTGTATCTATACTTACAAAAATTGATCTTTTCCTCCAGGGGAACTAATCTCTTAAGAATCCTTGATGAAAGGAATAGTATTTCCTGGCTTATATTCAAATACCATGACTCTTTTCTGTTTGATCCCAGGTTTCACTTTATCCATGTAATGTTCCTTTACAACCAAGGCAGCTGTTCAATTTCTATTTCTTTCTTTCTTGGAGACTCATATCTGCTTTTCTCTTTGAGTCTGTTTAATTCCCACCCTAACGATCTTTCTGCTTTTCCATGCACGTAACTGAAAAAAATCACCTTAAAATGGTAGTCTCAACTCTTAAGTTTTCAGATTTTTAAACGTGTAGTATCCATACCTAGCTAAAAGAACTCTCTGGATTTCAATTCTAAATTCTTAGGAGCGAGAATATTATTGGTCTAGGTAGGGCCCTCTGTTTACCACTGCCCAGTCAATTGTTTTCACCCAAGGGTTGGATCATATGGTTCAAACATGGTTGCCTCCATTTGTCAGTGTGGGTGGTGGTTTCAGAGAAGCAACACACACTGGGAAGATAGCTTAAAATATGTCATTGTATAATGTGTGGAGGAAAGGATGTGAGCAATCACTTAAAGCTGGGAATAAGCTTAAAATTTATAATTGGTAATTAGTAGAGTGACCTGGCAGAAGCAAAGGCATGCTCCATAGCAAACTGTTGGAAAACAAGCACACGTGTACACTGTAAATCCAAAGGCTATAAAGTTTGTTTGCTAATCTCATTACTATCATGGCACTACTTTTATCATGGTAAAAGCAGCAGGGAATGCAGAAAAACTGCAGGTTGTTACTTTGGTTTTGAGGGTTTGTGTTTAGTACAGGCATGTCATTATTTTTTTTTTTTCTGAGAATTTTTTTT